TAGCTATAGAGTCAATAGTGTTATCTCCAAAGCTAGTGATGTTAGCTCCAGAGTTAATAGCGTTTGCTCCAGAGCTAATGACATTAGCTCCAGAGTCAATAGCTCCAAAACCAATTATGCTAGCTCCAGAGCTAATATCATTAACTCCAGAGATAATAGCTGTAGCTCCAGAGTCAATAGCATTAGCTCCAAAGCTAATGACGTTAGCTCCAGAGCTAATTACGTTAGCTGCAGAGTTAATAGTGTTAGCTCCAGTGCTAGTGATGTTTGCTTGAGAGTTAATAGTGTTATGGCCATTAGCTCCAGAGTCAATAGTGTTAGCTCCAGAGCTAATTACGTTAGCTATAGTGTTGTGTTAGCTCCAGAGTTAATTACATTAGCTATAGTTAATAGTGTTAGCTACAGAGTTAATTACATTAGCTATAGTTAATAGTGTTAGCTACAGAACTAGTGATGTTTGCTTGAGAGTTAATAGTGTTAGCGCCATTAGCTCCAACGTCAATAGTGTTAGCTCCAGGGCTTAATGGCTTTAGCTCCAGCATTAATAGCGTTAGCGCAGAGGCTAATAACATCACAAGTTGATTACATTTAAACATTTCAACTTATATATTGTGCAAAGGACTAAAAAAAACAGAACTTTATTGTCACATTATGTTTTAACCTTGGATCCTTGTGTTTGAGTCTTCACTACAACCGATGTACGTCATTGCCCCAGAATGTATTACATCGGTAAAATAATGGCAACATCTTTAGGTGATAAATGTAACAAACATATATGAGTTTTTAAGTAATTAGGAGTTTCTATGTGTCACAAACAACAACTTTTAGTAGAATAGAGAAATAACTGCATTTTAAAGTCAATAAGCGCAAGTAGTCGGAGATCCATAAATTTTTTTAGCATTAACTGTTGGAGGTGACCTGGTTTTCTAGTAAAACTTCTCATGAATAGCAATTTTTTTAATTTTAATTTAAAATTCCTGAAGGTAATCACAGGATGTTCATCTACGACTGATGAACTTTTGGAGTCAGTCCAATCCAAGATAATTGCTACAGTTAATCAATGCAAAAATTGATGTGGTAGCAGCTGAGTACCCTGCGAGTCAGATCTTGTGATGCAACATTATTCTCAAGATTTGAGTTGGTTTCTCCTCAGAGCGTCCTTTTTTCCCCGTCCCAGTTCCACTCATCCTCTCTTCCGGTTCTCTTGTTAATAACTTCCTCTTTCCCTCTCCAACCCTGAATGCCCTTTCAGAACGCTCCCAAGCCATCCCTCCCCCAGCTCAGAGCGTTGCCAGGACTCTCAAAGCTCCCCCACACTTTTC